TGCGGCGCGTTGCGGGAGGCCGAGCTGCCGATGCTTATATTGTCGCTTTCTGTCGGGGGAGGAAAGAACCAGAAGATTGAAAAGAAATTTCTGTTTAGTAGAGATTTTACAGTGCTCGCAAAAAAACCTCTACTAAAAATAATAATAATTTTTTAAAAATTCGAGTTAAACGACACATTATGGACAAGTTTTTTTTTTAGTAAGACCTTTACGGCACTTGCAACACAATAAGGTCATATGAGCGTCAGAAAATTAGAGGGGTTACAAGAGAGTAACAAACACAAAAAAGAAAGAGGGGAGATAAAGACGATAGATGTTTGATAGGAAAGAAGGAGCAAAACACACCAGAGCACCCGCCAACCACCCACAGAGCACCCTTTGAGTGCCTTGCTCATTACTGAGCCTTGGAAAAGACATCTAGATCTATATAATGCAAGAAAAAAATAAACAAATCAAGCACAACTGACAACATTTTCAACAATCAATATGTGAAGCGTGCTGACAAAATTAGTTACTTCTCGCAATTCACGAAAGTAGATATTGGCCAAAGATCGACAATAGGGTCAAATTTGTAGAATTTCTATCGATGCCATATTCTTTAACTATAACATGACTTTTATTATTTCATATTTATAAACGATATAAACTTCACCTATAAGTGCAATAAATCTATTTCCATCAGGCTTGAATCCGAGAAGTAACTCATTTTGTCAGCGCGCTTCACATATTACGATTTTGGTAACGTTTTTTCACTTCAGCCTTTACATCTAGCACAACAAACACTTTCCACAGTCAATATTACAAGTTTGGTAACGTTTTTTCACTTCAGCCGTTTCTCTATAAAACTATAATTATGCATGCATTTCTGGATCATAATTTGTTAACTTTTGCACTTCAGCCGTTTCCCTATAAAACTATAATTATGCGTGCATTTCTGGATCATAATTTGTTAACTTTTGGACTTCAGCCTTTACATCTAGCAACAGTTTCCACAATCAATATTACAAGTTTGGTACTAGTTTTTGTATTTCAGACTTTACATCTAGCAACAGTTTCCACAATCAATATTACAAGTTCGGTACTAGTTTTTGCATTTCATCCTTTACATCTAGCAACAGTTTCCACAATCAATATTACAAGTTTGGTACTAGTTTTTGTATTTCAGCCTTCTTGCTATAAAACTATCTATGGGAGCATTTCTGGATCATAATTTGTTAGCTTTTGGACATAAGGCTTTTCATAATAATAGATAGCATTTGTATAGCGCAAATTCCCCACACAACAGCAAGCTCTATGCGCTTCACAATCTATACTACTATCCCAGCAGACCTGAAGCTTTTCCCTATAAAACAATATATCTATGCGTGCATTTCTGGATTTAAAAAGGCCCAATTTCAGACAAGTTCTCCCCTCGCGTTGTTCACGACAACATGAAGAAAAAGCCACTCCCTCCAGTCTTTAGTTAAATTTTAGTAAGAGTTTTACGCATGGCACTTGCAATACAATAAGGTCATATATGAGCGCCAGAAGATTAGAGGTGTTTCACGACAGTTACAAACATAAAAAAGAAGAAGGGGAGATAAGGACGATAGATGTTTGATAGGAAAGAAGAAGCAAACCTTACATACATGCACAAAATGTACATAAGCACACACATTCACAAACAAATATTATGCTTCCTAAGAAGTTGAAATAGTTTCAGAATGCTACCAGATTGGCTGGGGTAATAAAATAGATTGTTAAACATATAGAGTAGAGCTTGCTGTTGAGCGGGAATTTGTGATATACAAAATATTATGTCCCTAAGAAGTTGAGATTGTTTCAGAATGCTACGAGATTTGTTTGGGTAATAAAATACATTGTTAAACATGTTCTTTCTACTCTATCAAAATTGTAAGATCATTTGAAGTCGTTATCAAGATATTTTAAAAATTGTATTCGAAAAAGCTTGACAACATGTGAATCTCAAAATCTTTGATGTCAAATTTCTCAAAACTAGGTACTGAGCAGATAAGACTTGGTAATTCTTAGGAATCTATCGAGCTATCCATCTATTCATCCATCCATTTCTCTATCTCTCTCTATCAATCCATCCATCTATCTATGTATCTGTCTGTCTGTTTATCTACCCATCTATCTATAAATCTATCTATCTATTTTACATTTTTTGTTTGGAAAGTATGAATAAAATTCCAGAATCTATGAGAGAAAAAAATGGTCAAACTGGTAAGCCTGAAAGAAAGAGACTAGATCTAAGCGTAAAGTGAGTTATATATGTACTTGGAGAGGAGGCTGGATTACCAAAGTCTACGCTTTACAAACTCAAAATCTTTGATGTCAATTTCTCAAAACTAGGTACTGAGCACATAGAACTTTGTCATTCTGAGGAATCTATCTATCCATCCATCTCTCTATCCCTCTATCTATCCATCCATCTATATATCTGTCTGTCTGTCTATCTACCTATCTTTCTACAAATCTTTTTATCTATTTTACATTTTTTGTTTGGAAAGTATGAATAAAATTCCAGAATAATAATTTATTAAAAAAAAAAAATAATGGGTCAAACTGGCTAGCCTGAAACTAAAAGAGACAGCTTAACTCTTTAACCCCCATCAGACGCTGGTAGCGTCACGCTGGTAGCGTCCAGCAGTAATAACCCTGTCCCCCATCAGACACTGGGAGCGTCCAA